TCCACATAACTACAGGCTTTTAGGAATATTTTAAAATAATAGGCGATAATTTTAGGAATCTTTATTTCAGTTTTAAGTAGTAGTTTCCTGGAATGTACTGATCAGCTTTCTTCGGTATGTTACTTGCTTGGATGGAAGCCTCAGACAAGTAACTTTGATTCTTTGGAACTTATCCACCGATATGAAGCTGATTACTACTATCGAAAACGTTAGCAGAAAATGATACAGACATAGAAATCATTTCAGTAATATCCGTTGCAGAAAAAGTAGCCCTCGTTATCTAGTGAATGACACTTTCACATCTGAAGTCATCACCACTGGGTCTGCATCTTAGTGGGAACACCTTCACTTTCCAAGAAGCAAGCACATCTAATTGACAAGCCCCAAACAAGACTCATCATAAGCCTGGATTCCACTCGTAGTCATCACAAAACAAATATTTTTTTAGATTATATTTGATTAACTAGTGGTTTTTGCAACTACACTGAAAAAAATTTCAATGACCTTAGTTATAAATAGCAGTTTAAATGAAATTATCTTTGACCCAATAATTCATTACAAAACACTCCGGAAGTAAGAGATAAAGGTGACAGCTCTAAAAAATTCGTAATCATTAGTGAGTAGTAAACTAAAACAGCTAAGAATAATGCAGCTTGAATTTTGCGACCAAGGCTATAAGATCAACCAACTCGACACCAATATCCAGTAACAAAACTTGCTTCTACAAACAAAAGAGTTGATTCCATCATTAGACGATGAAGTTGTCAGATTTCAAACCACACTAGTCAACAACTGAGAGAGGTATAAAAATGGTAGTTATTCTAGCAAAAGCTTACCAAATAAACGATAATGAGGAGACCTCAGAAAGTTACGAAATGATGAAGGCATTATAATTAGTAGATCAGATAGCAAGGTTGGGGTGGTACTGATGAGTAAAAGTGAGTATGTTAACGAAATGAATTCGTTTCTAAGCAATGAAATGAAATTCCAAAATCCTAAAATCTCTACAAATTTAGATGGGAAGGTCCAAAAGCAGCTAACAGATACGCGCAATGAACTAAGGAGAAATGATGTAATATCTGTGCTAGCCTATAAATTTCCTAAACCTACTAGAAATAATACTTTTCGATTGTGTAGTTTACCTAAATTATATGGATGAGGATTTCATCTTCTCCCAGTTCTAGACATGTCTAATTTCACGTACGACGAAGTGGCAAGATAGCTAGTTGGACTCCTACAGTGGTTACACAAAAAGTGGTAAATCATTGTTTTAAAGACGCATTTGAATTCATTTCTAACTTAAATGATGTCAGTGTGAATGGAAAGCAAATGCTTTCCTTAAATTTCACATCATTGTTTACCAAGGTAACAGTTATGGATACTGGAATTCGTATGCCGACAAATACTAGAAAAGCAGTTCGATATCGAAATTTAACTCATCAGTCTCAAAAGGCTGCTACTAAGATGTGCTATGAATTTGCATTTCACATTTAACAACGTTTATTGCAAACAGATCGAAGGTAGTGCCAAACGTTCTCCATTAGGTCAATTTCTCCAGATTTCTTTTTCGTTAAGCATAAAAATGGCCCAATGAAACATGCAGTCGATAAAGTAGATTCTTATTTTCGTTATGTCGATAATATTTTTATTATTAATAATGAGAAAACCGACATGAACACATCCATCTCTCATGTTCTTTTGTGAGTGAAAACATGGTGGTAGTTTGCATTTTTCTGATGTCCAGTTGAGCAGAAGAGAGGATGGTTAACTCAAGAGAAGTGTCTATTAAAAAACCACGTCTATAAGACACTATGCACATTTCTTCAGTTTCGCACCTATCTGATATAAAATCAATTTTAATCAGATGCCTCACAAATAGAACAAGAAGGAATCGTACCGATGACTCCCTAGAAAATGAATTAAGATACATCAAGAATGTGATGGTGCAGATAGGTTATTCCAGTAGAGTTGTAAGTAAACACATGAATACTGTGTATAGAAATGGGGAACTAACCACGCCTAGGCAGAAATAATTGTTTCTGAAGCTGCAACTGAATGACGACGTTACTGGTGAAGTTTCTACATTTAAGATTATCCAGACCTTTAAAACGGACTCATACTTCTCCCATTCGTTGTTCGTAACTTTCCAGTCGATTAATTTCGATGGCTCGAAAGACAGATAAACTTTCTGCCTGTGCCACTTTTATGTAAATTTATAAGTTTTGTCGCTCCTGTGGGGAAATCTGTATAGGACGAATAACTAGACAGCTGAACAAATGCATTACTGAGCATCTTCTCTCATAGTTCGATAAAGGCCAAAAAAATCTTTAAGACGCTTCTCGCCGGCCGACGCACACCCTCTATCAATGGTCGGCCTGGTTAATTTGAGCTACTGATATCAAATGCCAAAAAATCCATATTGGTATTGGAAATACTGTGTGGATTCAAGCTATAATAAAAAGAAATAAGTGAAAAATTTTTATATACATTAGAGTAAAGCGTGAGGAAGATCTAATTGAAAACAATATTGTTCGCAAATATGTCTTGTTTTAATTTTAAGAATGAGAATATTTAAGGATAAGAATATGATGCATCTGTAAAGTAAATAACTTACACTGGTCAAATATGAAATGAGCAAAATGTACAGCTTGATCTTATAACCTTATGCAAGTGAAATGCTACAAATACAGATTCTAATAATCTTTTTCTTTTCAGGATTTGGACATTTATGCTGTTTTTATCAATCAGATACCGAAATAGAAAATATAAAACAAAATACTGATTCCTAGCTTTATATATACATATATACAGCTGAAACATCCTTACTTTTATCTGTTGCATACTTGTGTGTTTTCTATCAAACTGCTTCGAGCAATCGACTCATCAGTTGCAAATATTAATAAAATACATTTTAGTCATACTGAAGTTGTGATGACATATAAAATGGAGATAAATAAACAAATAAATATGATGAGATTAGAAATTTCTTTTTTCATTTATGAAAAAAGTATTGAGACATATTAGGCGAGAGAGTGTGTGTATGTGTGGAGGAGGAACACGAGAAGGTGGGAGACGAGTAGAAACGATGAACAATACACAGAAAAAGAAGAAACGTTGGTTGGTCCCCAATTTTTGCTTCCCTGTTATTAATGATGGAACATTTCATTGACTAAGTTAGACAAGATCTATTTGTATGGCAGATGTTAATCAAAATCAACAAATGCCTTCCTTATGAGCATATATTCAATTCACATTAAAATAAATAATTTCGATATGCTGTTTTTTGTAATCATGACATTTTGAATGAAATCATTATTGAATAACAGGTGCACTTCCAGTGTAAAACAATTTTAGTTTTGGTATACGCGGTATTTGTAAAAAAGAAGTAAGATTCGTTTTCTGTTTATTTGATGTGCATTTCGGAAAACGTCTAATATAATTTAAATTTCTGTCAAATACTGAATGATTATGAAGACTGAACCACGCAGTGGTTTGGGTATTTACTGCAGCTGTTGATTTTTGAGATATTTATGAGTATACTTCAGTTTTAATAAAATATAAGTGATGAATAAATTAGGCAATTTAGTCTTCTGTACGGCTACATTCTTTATTTACCAGCGTGCTTTTAAGATGTGTCAGTTTGTAAAAGAAACTATTAACTAAAGTGCAAATTACGTTTTATCTTATACATTGTTCCTCTTGAATAACCTTCATTCTCGTAGGTGACTATCATTTTAAAGTAGTCGCACGATTAGTCTACGGGTTCGAGAACATTTACCAACTTGGTTCAGAAGGGGGAGGGAATTAAGTGCATAAAAAGCTCGATCCTGTCACACTTGGTCGATATTGGACATTGTATAGATGTCAGAACAGCTTTCAGGGTTATATACCGAATTCCGAAGTCGTTATTCCGTACAGTTCGCTTACGTCTCTACACACAGCTAAAGCTGTTGCAATGAGATCGGCTAAACCGGAACATTGTATCCAAAAAGAACACGTCCAGACGCCGTTCCTACCGTGCCCAAACTTGGATTGATGATTCTTTTTCCTCCCCTTAACCCTCTTTGTTTTTTTCCTTTGCTTATTATTACAAATATTATTATTCGTCATAATTTATGCCTTTCATGAAAACATTCCCTTAATACTATCGAATTTTCATTTATACTATCCGGACTTATTATTAGTGATATTATCTCTTTCTCAATATATGCCTCCACCTGTTTCATTTCACATATTCTTTATCTCATTATGAACCTCTCATTGCCGTCTCACTATCTCTTGCTTAACACAAACCACTTTGTACTAGCCACTTACCTGACACCTTTTATAACCTTGAACTGACTACAAATCTATTATGAATAATCACCACCATTGTCTCCTGTTTGACAATATTTTTTAATCGATTGTCACACAAATACGACTATTTATTTTGACACCCCATAACTAATCTGTTATTCTACGTTAAAAATCTATCCGCCGCATAACTGGCCTTTATTGTAACGACAACAAATATTATATTTTATAATTGTAAGAACCTGAAGAGAAATTATTGAAAAGAATATTCTTCGTTCAGATTGAATTCGAATTCATAATATGAGAAGTCATATTGTTCCCACATAATTTCAATGGGTCAATAACACTCGTACTATTATTTCTGAATGAATATTATCTCACATTGATCTTAAATCCAATATCTAATCGATTCCATCCATGTATATAAATGAAGGAAAAAGTTGTGTGAGTTACTTGATATGATTATGAGCAATAGTTTGTGCTCGAAATGTCATCAGTTAATATAACTGTACAACACTGTGTGATTTATCGAAATAAAATCTTATCCATAATTGTTTATTGCGAGCTGTGTTAGTATTTCCGACATTTGCTAATGAAATGACCCATTCTTTACTCACTTTTCAACCGTCGGTTGCTTCATATTTAAAAAAAACTCAATCTCTTATTACTTTCTTGTACAAAACAAACCGTTTACTTTTCTTTTGTAGACGATATTGAATGTGAAATAATGAATGTAATCACAAATCCCAAACCTTTTGACAAACCTTTCGATTATATTAAAAACCAAAGTGAAGTCAACGAGTATTGGAATTCACTATTCAGCCTTACATCAAATGATACTGAAAATGACCAAGTTATTCCACAGGTATCAGATATGAAGACAACAACAACAACACTAACCGATACCAAGCTAACACATTTGAATCTGGTTACACTCAAGTTATACCAATCAATTTTGTACGAATATTTACTCAATGTGAAGCAGTCTTCAAGTCAGAATGATGAAAATTTAGACAGTTCATGTGAACGTGACTTTGATGGTAGATATTATCAAATGAACCATAATATATTTTTTATTATTTTAATACATTTCTAATTTAAACTTCATTCACAAAACTATCGGTCGCTATTTTTTCACTTATTTGGTTAGCAGTGTTTCAACCAAAAGGTTTCACGGATGAGGATTTAAAAGGCCGTACTGTAAAAAAGCAAGACAGACATTCATTAATCCAAAAGTGTGGAAATCTGCTACAGTTATCATAGAGAAGAGGATTCGGGTTTTCAGCATTAATGTTTCATCTCTGCTTCTATATGTTTCAAAGAGTTGGCGCGTCCCCAAAAGCATATTTAACAGGCTACATACTTTCGTCAGCATTTTTCTTCGTTTATTCTGAAAATCAGACATCTAGAAGAAATAAACAACAATAAAATTAGGCAAACAAACAACCAGCTAAGAACTTATTGCCTATCACATATGGAGAAAAAATGAAATGGATCTGACATACGCCTAGAAGACGGTTAAATATCACACGGCAGACCATCGAGCAGAACTCGAGGACGACATGGAGGGAGGGAATCAAGTGAAAAGATAAGAGATTATAGGCGATCATGGGACCAGCCAAAAAGGGCTGTAAAGAACAGGATTAAGTGGAGATATGCAGCTTAGGCTCCTTGTTCCACTTGGAGAGAAATATATTTATGATTCATATTAGCGACACATGATTTTATGCTTCCCGTCAAGGAACATACAGACGTATATTAGTGATGTCAGTCAATTTCACGTACAGGATATGATATTCACTTTAAATTACTGTTCCAGGCATATGTACACAATTAGAAATTAACACAACTAATTGACTGTATGATTATTTGTGAAAGTTTGATTACATATCCAAAATACAGACTATAATAAAAACAGGTTAAATATCTTGAGTAATATATATTTATCACAGTGTCAGAATATTTCGTTGGAAGTGTTGCTTTAACTGAAATCCGTGTTCTTTGTAATGCACAGATGACAAAATAATGTTATTGTCATTTTTGCTTGAAATTAATCCAACACAGAAGGCAGATTTATCAGTTTCTGATAAACTTTACTATTCATGTATCAGACCACAACAGTTATTAGCGTATAAAACTAGTTTCATATATCTTTAGTCTGCGGAATGAAGCAAAGCTACCTGTGTTGTATACTGTAATTCTTTAGAAAATGAATAGTTCTTGAAATTTAAAAGAAACAGGTAGCGTTCAGCATATAGACTTGTTATGCAGTTTAGCGAGTGATCACCTAATTTCTGAGCTTTAGACACTTATTCAAGTACAATATCTCCTTCAAAGTGTGAGTCAAATAGGCTGCTTTTATTTTGCCTTTAATGCAAGAGTCTTTATTGCACCTTGTAAAATCTCGAGGGTCTATAGCAGATTCGTGAAATATCATTTTCTAGATAGCTAGACATTAGTTACTGCACTCAAAATCTTTTTAAAACATAAAAGTGATCTAACTGATTAATGCGTAGCTGCATATGACAAATCTTGCATGAATTATTTTTGTTCATTTATAGTCTCTGTAGAACAGGACTGTCAGAGTCAATTTCCAATAAAATATCTATTGATACCTCTCAAGCCAATACCATACTATTCACAAGATGCAGAATATTGGTTCCAACGCTTTATATCACTTCAACTTTTCCTCTATCGAATGAGCGAAACAACTGAAGGTGAATTTCTTGACAGTCTGCAAAACTTCACTAACAATAAATTCACTTGGTGTCATCAACAAACGGATGACAAAGTTGATGAAAATCAAATTCACTCTATTGTCTCACCATACAGCATACATTTTGAACCTAAAACAGAAGTAGTGTTAAGAAATGAGAAAAATCGCAGAGCCATTAAACCAATACAACGCTTGTTGTTGCAAACGTTAGACAACTTTGAAGGTGATAATTCTTTCAGTAAACATCTATGGCTCCTTATCAGTTACTGTCCACATAATTTGAAACTGTGAGTCACTCATACAGTTTGATTCTTTTTGGGTGTTGAACATTTAAAGAAGAGGGTAGATTCACGTTAACTTCAGCTGTATGTTTTGTAACAGTTACATAGTCTAACACTTGTAATTTTTTAAAAACTTAAGGAGGACAGTATCTTTAAATTCTAACGGGTATTGACAGGAGTTTCTTGATTAGTTACTCTTCACGTTCTACTTAACTGTGTTCACAAATGCTACATAATAAGTGAGCGTTTATCAGTAGCGGTAGGATTTGTATACATCATTAAAATCAGAAACACAATCTTATTTATAGTTATATATGGGAGTGTCTATTTTTAAGTCCTAGAAGAAACCGATAAAACAATGATGAGTGAAAGGTTCTATTTATTTTATGTGAAACCATCGGAAATTTTTTCAAAATGAAACTTGCTTGGAATTCCTAATGTTCGCTCAGTACCCCACAATTGCTAAACTCTATATTCAGATCTTGGTTTTAGTCCAGATAAAACAGTATTGTTATTAGATGGTTGAAAGTAACTGTACGGGAAACCTTGTATCTGGACTTCATCCAAGGCTGCAATTATAATGAAGGGGTAACTGCAACTTTGCAAGGACATAGGTTCTTTGCCGACGAGTGCTGCCTAGCACGAAACCTAGATCCAAGGCTTCCTCCCGATTGCCTCCTACCATCTTATAATAAAAATTCACAGTGAATCGTCATGGCAGTCACATTGGAAATTTGACTGACAGAATTCAGTCTGCACCAAACAAAAGACTAGACACATTTCACTAGTTATTAAGTAGTGTCTGATCAAAGAAAACATTATTGAATTGCTTGTTTAAATATGACATTAGATGGTTTATATCAAGCAGTTCGAGAAATTTTATTCTAAGCAAAAGGTTACTCGCTAAAATAAATAACAAAATATACAAGTCTAAAAGTAAATATTTAATGTGAATGCCTTTTGCGTAAATGAAGAAATGGAAAATTAGTTGGAGTTTATGCTTTTAAATATGAAGGCAGACAGATTGATGAGTCAGATGTGTTGAGGTAAATAAAGAATGTAAATTTATAACAATAAAGTTAAGGAACTTCGAACCTTCAAATAATATCAGGATAGAAACGTTTTCTACACTTATTTATTCCACGCATCTAGTTCCTACATCACCTACTATTCATCAAATATACACGAAGAGTATTCTTTTTCACAAGATCTTTCCTAGCTTTAAAGTAATTAAATTAAACATCAAGGCAAACTTCGTCCCGAACTGACATTAAATAAAGAACCATCAAGAACCAAAAGTACTGAATAGCTGATTTATACTTGACGAGATGTATATAAACGCAACACCCAAGGTAAACTGAATAATAGTCAGGTATGATTTAAATAAATTTTTGTAAGTTAGATTTCATAAATATTCAGACCGTGAAGGTTACGAATTATTCGGAATAATTTAAACACTAAGTCAATTTGAATCACGAAAAAATAACCTCTAAAAAATCCCAGCATGTTTAAAAATTCAAAACAAAGCTTTTTGGAAAGTTTTGCTTTGTAAGCCACAGCAACTTCAGCGAAACTAATCAGACTTTGTTAACTATCAAAATATACAGTCAAAAATTATATAATTTGTAATGAACTCCTTTGAAGCTCATTTATTGGTAGACATTTGTACCAGTAGAAAAATGTATACAGTCATCACATATTCGTAATGACTTATGTCAAATTGTCATACGTACACATTTGGCAGTATGAGTACGTATATATTGTTTGTTATGTGGGAAGTACGTCAGTCGATATGCGAAAAACACGACAACATTTTACAGAGGTCATAACATATGATTCAACAATATTTTCATCCATTTTACTTCATTAGAGTCTACCAGATGGGTGATAAGCCTATTCCTTCTCTTAAAGGGAAAAGAACAAGAAGTTCAGCAAAGATATCTTTGCGTCGATTGTAATCTCACAAGCTGTACAATCGCATTTATATACATAAGTTCACATAAATACAATTGTTATTTATTTAATTCCACGTAGTATAGAAGATGATTAAGGGTTATATTAGTTTTCAGTTTGATATGAAAGTTTGAATATGCGAATATTTATCATAAGGGCTCATAGACAAAAACAACACAGAACTGGGAAATGTTACAATGCATGTAAAATTAATATCTGACAACTGGAGAAATATTTTTAATTTTAAATTGATATGAAACTTTGAAGGTGTGTGTGTAGATTACAAGGGACTTGGAAACAAACTTATACAGGACCAGAAAATAGGTTTCAACGGCTAAAGGTATGAATGGGATGAGCATGAGAACAAGTTGAAAGAATAGTAATTTTAAAACTCTCCTACTGTTTGCATTCAATGTCGTTAAAACATTCAAGGTTTCAGAGGTCAGTCTACCCTCATTTGAATGAAAATCTTTTCCTGGGATTTCGACACTGTGAAAACTGATCTTCTGTCCACTTTCTATCACACAAATTGCCATAACTCATCTTTTTTTAAGACTTTAATTCTACTTCCTTTCTCAAACGGCATTTCATACCCAGCGTGTGCCTATTTTACCTTGGATAAGATTATTACACGAACGAAGGTTATTTATTATAAATTTGATCAGAGTGAGAAGGTATTATGGTATACCTCCATGGTTAATAGTGTGAATTAAAAATTACTTGATTTATTGAGATCGCAAAAGCAAAAAGTTTCAATATGTAAAACGGTTGAGGTAATTTCATCCTTTTTGTAATAGTCATACAAATATTACAAACAAAAGTCTAAAAAATTTGGTTCGCACAAACCAAAGTAGAGCATTACACAACTGTGAAGAAATAAAAGGGGGAACAAAATCAAGGAAGACCTAGTGATTGAGTCTTATTCTTTAATTAAAGAAAAATTCCGTTAATAACATAAAGAAAATCAAATCAAGTGATTCAGCGAAGAGACTCTTTTCAACAAATTTATTATCAAGCTGTACAGTCATATATTTATGTTTTTTATGAAGATATATCGGCTGGGGGAATTGAATCATAGGTGTGAATACACAAAATAATAGTAATAATAGCATGAAATGTAGTTAAAATATTTGTGATTATAATCATAGTTGAATGTCAAGTGACAGAATAATTAATTTTCAAGTATTGGTTTTGTAGGAATTTTATTTTGATTGGATGGAAGATTTCATCATGAGTTGAGATCAGTTAGAGAACCACTAGAGAACCTGAGAGTACTGGACGGCTGTTTCGTCCTAGTTTAGGACTCTTTATCAATTTGCACTCACCGCAGGGGTTCGAACCTAGGACCTTTTTGTTACAAGGCGAACTCGCATACCCTTGAGCCACTGGGCCCCGGTCCAATTGCTCTTGAAATCTAACTTCTGAAGAGTCCCAAACTAGAACAAAACATCCGTCCAGTAATCCTAGGTTTTCCAGTGGTTCTCTAACTGTTGTCAGCTTGTGATGAAATCCTGCATGCAAATTAATATTGTCATTCATAGAATAATTCATAAGATGTATAGAACTTGGAAGGGGTGTGCAATTATAGGATTAGTAGGCGAATCGAATAGAATAAAAACGTTACGCAATATTGTGTGAAATTCGATAACACAAAATTTAATGTCACAAAACAGAATTGATTTAGAATGACAAGTGGGACAAGAGAAATACAACCGTGGACAGTTCAAAGTGAGAATAGTAGTAGTAACAAATGACGTAATAAAGGAAGGCTATACAAACTGAATAGACAAAATGAAATAAATTTGTGGAACCAAAATATTCAACTGTATCCCTGATACTGTGGAGGGTGGGCAAAATCTTTTGTCCAGCACTCTAAGGTTCTCCAGTGGTTCTCTAACTGATCTCAACTCATGATGAAATCTTCCATCCAATCAAAATAAAATTCCTACAAAACCAATAATTGAAAATTAATTATTCTGTCACTTGACATTCAGCTATGATTATAATCACAAATATTTTAACTACATTTCATGCTACTATTATTATTATTTTGTGTATTCACACCTATGATTCAATTCCCCCCAGCCGATATATCTTCATAAAAAACATAAATATATGACTGTACAGCTTGATAATAAATTTGTTGAAAAGAGTCTCTTCGCTGAATCACTTGATTTTCTTTTCTTTATGAGTTTTATTTTGGCCTTTGAATGAATAGAAGAAGACTATTTAGACCATACCACATTACCTATACGCATAGCCGACAGTAGGCCAGTTTGCAATGCCAAACACCAAAGGCTCAATTTTAGTTTCACTTTTAAAAATAAGACGCAGATTTAATAACCGTAAGTACACAATTAATCGATCGGAAAATCAAAAAATCCAATTCACTAATGAAAAGTATTCATATGTAACAAACGTATTACATTTCAGATAAACCAAATAAGTGAATACTGGTTTTTAAAGTTCAACATATTTTGCTTTTTCTTTTTGTTAAATTTCGTCATTTTCTTAGTGAAATTCAACAGTATCAAAATCGTTTAATTTTACTTAATGATAAAGAAGAATTTTTCAAGGCTATTGAAGAGTTCAACACACTGATGATAAAATATTCTACAGCTAATATTCTTTCAGATAAAGAAAAAGCAGAAGTGAATATCAAAAGCACATCAGTGAAAACCTCTTCAGTTAAACGAACAGAAAAGCAAATCGATCCAGACAGTACAAATCAATTTAGTCAGGAGTTGCAAGTGAGTATACATTCGAATCATAACAGAAGATTCATAAACTTCCTCTTTTTATCTCTGACTGTAGAACGTTTTAGAACATCGGGTAGTAATTTAAGCATGAACTAACAATTAAGATGTCAGTGAAGGAATTGAATGGAATACCTAAAACATCCAAAATAATAAGAAATCGGAAGAATGCTTTTAGTACATATGTGATGACAGCAATATGCAAACTTACTTTACCTGCAAAAAAAGACTTGATGTTGCATTTCTGTAATGTGGCCATAAAATCATGATCAACTTAATGAAAATATATATGAATATATGACCTGTGCACAAATATGTGACTACTCAAGGAAATACTCCCTAAGTATTTAAAAAAGAAGCTTCTTCCTTTCTCCTGTTTTTAAAGTAGAATCAGTTAAACAAACTACTGGAAAATTTGCTCTCCTCTCTCCTAGTTGGTTGTAGAAAATAACAGGAGACTGCTGTACTGCCAAAGAACCACCACCCTCAGCTTTGTCAAAAGCTTGTTTGAAGGGATTTAATTCGTTTCAAGTTTCACTGCTGATTGACATGAGTTAGTGAACCAATGAAAACCACGCAATACTATACAGTTATTTCGTTCAAGTTCACGACTTTCAGGCAGTACTCACACACTCGATCACGTACACAAGACCATACAGTTATAAGTCAAAGCCGTAGACCATTTAGCCACTGGGATCCGACACAATACTTCGCGCACTCTCACTTCTACTGACTCGTGATTTTAGCGTGATCACCAGTCAGTGTCGCCGGTGACTGTTTATCTTCACTCCCAACGGAATGGCTCTCATTGGCCACGACTTCTTACTGGAACTCCGGCCGACTTTTTCTTGCTGCTAATCACTAGTGAGCGTCAGATTAGTTTGTCAGAGTTTGTTTGTGTGGATTTGATTTGTTTCATGTTTGATCACGGATCGATATCAGTTGAAAAAATATCGAAAACCAGGACGTACTAGACAACTGTTTACTATAAATACAAAAACGTACTTGAAATATAAATGCTCAGTTTTAGAATGATTCTGTAACATGCCAATAACCTTTCTTCAAACTGCTAGGGTTTAAATTTTATTTAAAAAATAATTTATGCCGAATGCCAAAGATTTGAATAGACTTTTCAAGTATTGGTTTTTGTAGGGATTTTGTTTGATTGCATGGAGGATTTAATCATGAGCTGACATCAGTTAGAGAACCACTGGAAAACCTGGGAGTACTGGACAGCCGTTTCGTCCTAGTTTGGGACTCCTCAGCAGTACGCACCCACCGGGATTCGAACCCAGGACCTTCTGGTTACGAGCTCGCCTTGTAACCAGAAGGTCCTGGGTTCGAATCCCGGTGGGTGCGTACTGCTGAGGAGTCCCAAACTAGGACGAAACGGCTGTCCAGTACTCCCAGGTTTTCCAGTGGTTCTCTAACTGATGTCAGCTCATGATTAATCCTCCATGCAATTTGAATAGACTATTTGTACGGCTAATAGCCTACTCTTCACAGTTACCCTAAACCATGAAGAAATATTTGTGAAGGTATAAGCAGTTAAGGAATTACATTCAAAGGCATATTACCTTTAATACCTACATTACAAAGCGAAGTTTTCTATGAAAGAAAAAGTACTGACGTTAAGAGGGACAATTCAGTAGTATCTCGCACTAATTATTTTTACTGTTGCCACTGCTGCTTTGAAATATTTTAGTGTGTTTAAGTGGGCTGGATACTGTTATCTCAGACATATAACCTTAGGAGTTTAAATGCACAGGTGTTTATATCTACAAAAGTAGAATAAAATGAACATGGTCAAATTTTTTGTAAACAATTTATTTGTCTGTTTTATTTTATAGAATGAATTTGGTATATGGTTAGAAAAATTCGATACAACTCTTCGATCTGGAAAGATTTTGAATAGTAATACTTCACCTGATAAAAGCTCCATACAGTTTGGTTACATTAATCCTAATGTTTCATTACCAACAGTAAGTTGTATGATATACTTTATTGCAAAAGTAAAATTACATATGAGTTGATCTTTAGAAGGCGATGAATACAAACAATCGTTGTAAAAATTAACATAGTCCCTCTTTGTAAATATTACTGTATATTTTCAGATTGTAAGCAGTGTTCAGATTTGTCTGATATCCTGTTCTTTCTCTAACATCTAATGAATTCCATTTCTGCCAATAATCAATAGTGAAGGTTCGGACAGAACGTCTACACTGCTTTTTAGACGGAGTCCTTCCGAAAAAATTCAGGGGTTATGTGTTTAACATTTGAATGAGAACCATGTATTGAGAATGGCAGAGGCGTGAAATAATGCAATACTTATAGCTTCCATTACCATTTTCAGCCATTGTCATCTAAATCCATCTTTGTTCTTAAATAAATTGACATATTTTGAAATTTTATTTATTATTTAAGCTCGTTATAATAAAGGCTTTTGTATTTCCCAATGAATGAAAAACAAAACGATACTGCTTGTACTGACATTTCGCTATTTAATGCTAATTAGCTTTATCAAAGTATTATTCAAGCTGAATTTACAAAATCTCGGCATATGAATAACAAAGAGTTAAGAGGTAAGAAATAGACTTAGGTCAAATTAAAAGGACATATTGAAAGTTAAAATAGCAGTGAAGATCACCAAACCAAATATCAAAGGTAATAGTACACCTCTTATGATATCAAAACAAAGCTTACTAACTTGATCATCGTTCGTCAGTCTGGGGTCATTTTTCCTTGTCAAATTCGTCAATTGGTAAAGATAACAAAACCAAGTGTAGATTGTTGGATTTGATCAGTGTGTAACATTATAAAAGTAATGTGTGTTTACAAAGTGAAGTTGCATATCACATTCGTGTTGATTTTGTCACTTCATCGGGGAGGGGAGGGAGGTGTTGTAACCAGGTCAAATTCTGTTTTAGTTCATCATCCCTGTTCAAACAATTTGGATTCCATTTGATATGAAGTGCTTCCGATGACATTAGGCGTTCTTTGTGATTCCTGAAGTTTTTCTGGATAATGATTTCAATATTGTCAAAATCAATTTTGTGGTCAGATGCTATAGCGTGTAGACCAACAGCTGATGATTTTCATTCATTGGGAAATACAAAAACCTTTATTATAATGAATATCATATTCCCAAATTTTGTCAGAGTGTTAAAAGTGGACTTGGTTTGGATATGTATAATATTATTTAAGCTTTTTAAAATAGGGGTAGTCAAATAAGTGGTATAATTCTACGCTTAGAATGCATGAGGTTAGCGGTTGTATCTGAAAATAAACCCAAGTGAGCAGATTACAGTTACCTGCTTTGATTTATTCGTCTGAGTCACTGATACAGGTGATAAGGAATCCATTCATTTAAGATGAATTTTTGATGTCTACTTCCTGTAAATTGTCATATAGATGTAAATAATTCCATTTGCGTTTTGATTAATAAAACATTTTAGCAACAAAAGTTAATACTGTCAACGATTATATTTTCTGTTAAAGTGATTTTTAATGCTCAAAGTCTATTTTTTTATTTTAAAATATGCCTTGCAGATTCAACCAAGTGATGATGTTTTCAACGTTTTCAAGGAAATAATTTCATGGAGATATTTTGGTGGCACTATAGTCAAATCAAAGTTAAAGGAATATATTTTAATGTTATACCGTTTTAATGAATGATATACTCTATGTACTTGTCATCATGAGAACAATTCATTTAGCTTGTTTTGCATTACGAAATTTAATAAACTCTCTGCTTACATCTATTTTTTTAAAATCTTATGTGTTTATGATTATATTTCACTTCAGTGGTATGGTACTGGGTACTTTTGAAAACTCCAAGATATATAATTATTATAGCTAGAGGTGAATGTGTGCGACCGGTGATGAAATCATCTGTAGAGGAAATTCGAAAGTGTCTAAACTTCTTTCACAAATCAAAAACATCACTGATATACTGAAAAGCATGAAGAATGAGGTGTGAATTCCTAAACTTCATGTGATTACTGATCAGAGAAAAATCTTAGATTCAGGAAAGACAGGTTTGAAATTTTCTCATTGGTACAAAATACCGAGAATCTTAACCGTTTAGCGAATAAGTGGTCGAAAAATAAAAATATCTGCCGAAAAATTTCATCTGGCTTCGAAATAAAATACAGCAAATGTTACAGCTACATAATAGAAACAATTATCAGACTGGTTTTCATCAAACAGCAGATTGATTGAAGAGATATATATTCCTTTCAATTAGTTCCTCATCATCGGCTCTACACTAATATATAGTATTTTACAACAAAAGATTTCACAAATCAAGTGGTTATTTTAGTTAATCCATTTGAAGTATTGGGTCGAGGGAGGGGAGGAGTTAAGAGGTTGAAATTCATCAAAACAATTAACTAATAGGTGTTAGTAATAAGATATCTAAGTTTATGAGGGAGGGGTGATATACGCTGAAATCCTAAGATTACAGTCACTTATGATGTCCATAGCGAGATTTTGTCACATCATCTGAGTCAGGCCTTCAAAAGGGCTTTCTATGAAGAAAAATCTATGCTGTGTATTCACTAGCCAACCAATACTTAGTTCAAGAAATAAAGACAGACTCTTCTGTTTTGCCTCTTTCATGTGTATTTTTTTCCTAGATTAACTGCCCTTGCGGAGCTAGTTAAATAGTGCGTACGATCTGGCAAGTTCATCGTCGAATTTCTGAACAACCCAGCTTCGTTTGGCAAAGGTTCAAATAAAGCTATAAACAGCTCAGTACTAGCCCATCTCATGGATACTGAATATCAAATCGACTCTAACAAAACTTTTAAAATTATTTATCGTATATCACCAGACCTTTCGCATGGTCTATGAGTACAACTTTTAAATACAGCCGACGCCATCAGGATACATCTGAACAAGGCAAAAATGTATATTCAAAAGAAATTTGTACAGCCCTTTTCTATGCTATGGCCAACTACGTAATATATATTACTTTTTTTAAATCTATCTTTTCCCCTTCCCTTGTAACTATTTTTTGATTTTGTTATTTTTCAAAAATCTGGCTAATTCTATTAACTTGTTTGTACTTTGACGTAATTCTTCTTCTGAGTCATTCAATTCTTCATAGCCACCATCGTTTTACAAACTTCTTGATTATGTAAAAATTTGTTGCTGAAACCTAAGAATCAACTTATCTTGAATTCCGTAATTAATTATCATCCCCCCTTTTCATAAACTTAGATATCTTGTTACTAACATCTATTAGTTAGTTGTTTTGATGACTTTTAACCTCTTCATTCCTTCACTCGAACCCATACCTCAAATGGATTAACTAAATTAACCACTTGATTTGTGAAATACCATATATTATTGTGCGTCGGTGGTATAGCGGTTAAGACGCTCGCCGACATGGTCCGGGGTTCGATTCCCGGTCGACTCACTCCTTTACCTCGCTAAGCCAGAAATACTGCTGGTAAAGAGGAAAGGTTGGACATGAGGCAAGCAACTAGCTTGAAACCCTATGTTCCACTGGGGAAAGTGAGGGAAAAATATATATATTAGTGTAGAGCCGATGATGAGGAACTAACTGAAAGAGGATGTATCTCTTCACTCAATCTGTTGTTTTTCTAAATACTAAAATATAAACCGAGAAATGATTGATTTTTTTAGCTTCATTCTGGGTATGCAGTGTTGCTCAGTAACTATTTGTCACACAATATTACCATAAAACAGAGTACTCAATTTTCTCAGTACTAAGAAATGTAACGGTGAATGACGTCTGAATTATCTTAATCTTGACATGTCATTGTATTTGTTTTGCATCCATCGCAATATCGTTGAGATTTTATTAAATAATCTGATCCGTTTGAAGTATTTTTATACCAATCTTATACAGCTTTGTGAACCTGCTTTCTTCAACTTTTCAAAGTACTTGACTGTCAGTCTTACTATAAGGTAATGAGACAAAGACGATAATAAGTATCCAGAGGATAGATGTTATTCATTTCTTGGAATAACTAGAGTTTCGAGTCAGATTAAATTATTATTATGGGTAATTTTATAATCAACAAGAAGGGTGACAAACAGTAGAAATCCATGGCAATTCATCCTCACAAAAATATGTAGCAATTAGTTTAGAGCTAGTGTAATGATTATCGTCATAAAATGTAGTGGCCGCAATTTACAGAGTTGTTCTCGTTAGGCGGCTAGATAGTAGCTGCGATTATAAGGTGAAAAAGGTTTACTTGTTCCCATTTTTGGGCTAGGAAAGTTTAGAAAACCATTCATGACTGATTAACCAAAGCTTTAAGATAATTATCTATGGGGAAAAAGCAGTCTAGACAGCTCCACGTGCTTATTTCAAGAGAACGATATTATCTTAAGACACCTGCCTATTTGATGTCAGAGAAAGAGACGTCTCACTGAATAACAGTTTTTTGCTGGAAGAAACCAAAGACCTAGTTTGTGACAAAACCTGGTTAATCATTAAAGCGTATAAATTGTGCGTCGGTGGCACAGTGGTTAGGACTCTCGCCAACCATGCACATGGTCCGGCGTTCGAGTCCACGCTGGCGCACACCTCATATCTATGGTCGGCCTGCAAAATTTGGGCTACCGATATCCATGCTGAAAATTCCATACTTGTACCAAAAATACAGTGTGGAATCAAGCTGTAAATCAAAAAAAATTTATTTGTTGAGTATCAGATATGAATATCATTTAGAAGTGTACATTTTGAAGATTACTGAGTTCCTGGTAATGTTACCTTAGTGATGAGAGACGTCAATTGTTAAAGTGTATATGAGTGCTCGTTGATTTCTGAAAGCTCAAAATTTAATAGCTGCTTAGTAATTATGTCTCCTTTTAACTCATTTGTTTCATTTGTACTAACTTCAGTAAAATAGAGCGGAATTTTCAGTCCCTGATCTGCTCGTCAAATATCTTTGATTTCAACGGTATTTTCATCACTGTTATTCTGTCAGCTCTGATTGTACATTATGTATCAATTTGTACTAATAGGAAGCACAGTATTAGTTTCTATTTTCTGCTAATACACCTTTAGTCAATCAAAAGAACAGCTGAAAGTTATAGAAACAACCTCCAAGGTGGTAATAGAGAATAGATGCTATCATCTGTCGTAGATAACGGGAACAGATTTACTTATGCGGACGAACCAACTTCATCGTGCATCTTCTTTGAACGTAGTAGGAAAATGAAGCGACGGTAATTTTTGGTTACTAAGGCAAGTCTGTACATTGGCTTCACAGAACTGACGACTAATGATTTTTTCTGACATTAAGGAGTTATGTATTACGCTTCTAATATATCGTTTTGAAAAGTGCTGACTGAATACAAAGCCATCTGAAGTTTTCCTTTGCTAAGTTTGTAAATTTAACTTGGAAAGATCCTTGGTGACAAATTCACGTGGAGAATTGGGATTGTGTTTTAAGGTGATGCGCAATCCTTTGAGTACTAATTTTGAAAGCAATAGTCAAGTCGTCACGATTAGCCTATCAAGTGAGTGAAATACCAAGGACTTCATAAATGGTCGTAGTGTTAGATGGCACTCATGAACATTAGAAAGTGTGCAGTCTTTGGATTTTTAATCCTAACCTGAAGGTATGACGAATATTTGTAAATAATACTTTTATATCATTAAAATAATACAGTTATTATTTTCTATAGAATGATTCATCAGGAAGAGTTGTTTAATTTCAGCAGTGATTTCAGGGAATTACCGGATACAAACCAAAATTATTATTTAATTTTATTGTTTTCCTCTCCGAGTGAAACATGGGGGCTCAAGCTTCAACCTTGAAGTTTCATTAAGTACTCTTTATGGGATGGGGTTACCAGCCCCGCACCCAATCTTCCCTCTTTACTGGATGCATGACGGCCTAAGCTAGATTAAAGAGAGAGTCGGCGGTTAACAAACTTCGAATCACGTGCTTGGTTGGTGAGCATACTTACTCACAACCACTGGAGCAAGGAAATAATTTCAAAGGCCAGCATCTTTAGAATTTCTGCGTAATTTCAACGACATCCTGAAATCAGACAACCTAACTTTATATCAAGTGAAAAAGTTTAGTTATGTTTCATTTAAGAAGTGTTCAACAAGTAAATCAAGGAGTTTGATTGAGAATAAATTCTGTGGAATGGATTTTTCTCCATAACTTGGTTTTTAATCATTTTTAACAAATAAAAATACGGATGTCAATACAAACAGCATTAATTGTGAATTCAAAATTGGAATTAACTAAATTTTTTTATTTTAGGACGTCATTGTGAACTTCTGACCTAAACTGAAACTAAAATCTTATTGAACAGTCTGTCGAGAAACACTTTTTATTTAAATTGTACGGTTTTCTGGGAATTTGGATTGATTCCAGTGAAGATTTCGGTCACGAACTAATGTCAGTTATAAGTCATAGAAAACCAAAGAGGTTTTGGAGAGCTGTTTATGCTTAAATTAGAAGTCTTCGGCAGGGCTTTAAATGACCGGTTTGTTTCACTTCAGATTGAGTAACAAGAATATTAAGCATGTTTAAGCAAAATATGCACACAAGGCAAACCATCGTGAAATACACGCAAATCAAGCCATTCATTTATGGGAATGTACTTTTCCTTTTTCACGTGGTTGCATTCTCTGATTTGTGTGATTTTACAGCAAATTCTTATTAAATTTATTTAAA